ACTTTACATTCACTGTTATTTTTGTATTAGTTTCAGGTGTACAGCACAGTGTTTAGAAAAGCATAAATTTTCACTGTACTACTTGAAGAATTTTCATATTTATTCAACCATCTAACCACCACCTAAATCAAGATATAGAACATTTCAGAACTCCAAAGTCTTTTCACACCTCTTCCACTCTTGACCCTCTCACATTCAAGCACAATCTCTCTTCTAACTTCTGTCACCGTAGTTTGGCCTTTTCTTGAATATACAGGCTGAGGCCAAGCAGGTTTACAGTTGCGAGTATGTGAAACACAGAGTTTATTCTTGTATCACAACTTATTAATTTTTGTATTATTTCCCACATGAACAACTGTGAACCTACTTTTGCCCTACCCTGTTGGGAACTTGTTGGGAAGGTGGAATCTCAGGCCTCAGCCCAGATCTTGGGAATCGGAAACTCTGAGGGGCAAGGCTGAGACATATTTCCCACAAAACTCCAGGTGATTGTGATGCACGCGAAAGTGAAGGACCAATGGGCTGGAGAACGGTCACTGTCTCACCCATCTGCCTATCTGTAAGCCGACCGCCTTATTAATAAAACAAACTTCAAATCTCTAGTAACCGTATCAAAACTAACCATGTCATTTGCAATCATTTGATGTGTTTGTCTGTCTGCTTATTGGACGACCTAACTAACATGAACCAAAATTAAAGAAAAAGCGAAAAGAGCGGACAGAGAGGTCTCCCCTAGACTCTTGTGCCCTGCAGGCAAACCAAGGTTCCCAGGCCGCTTTGTGTTGTTTTGGAGCTATTTTGCCCATTCGCTACAAATAGGCGTATTCTTTCTTCACTGTCTGCTATACACAAATGTAGCACATTCTACTGTTCAAATGCAGCCTTCTTTTTTAAAAAAGACAATTTTAAAATATGTTTACTGATTTTAGAGACAGAGAGAGGGGAAAGAGAAAGAGGAACATTGATGTGAAAGGGAAACTCCTATCTGCAGCCCAAGACATTTGTGCCCTGACCAGGGATTGAACCCACAGCCTAGGTGTGTGCCCTGACTAGGAACCAAACCCCCAACCTTTTGGTACATGGTACGATGCTCCAACCAACTGGGCCACACCGGCCAGGGCAAATGCAGTCTTCTTTATTGGTGCTCGTATATGGTTTCCACAGTAACTTTTCCTGTTTTGTAAAAGAATGTGTGTTTCATATAAATTTCTTAAAATAGGAATTTGCATTTTTTACATTTTTCCATTGAACCAATTCTAATGCTTTATACTTACAATATCTTTTCTTTTAACTTTGACTTTTAACTATCCCAATGAAATATTCAGAAATAGAAAGTTATTATCACCAGGTGCTATTTCTCTTACATTATACCCCAAAAGCTCAGCCTTCTACATATTTAAAGATCTCGTCACATTTGCTGGTTAATTTTGCATATTAATATTTGAACCATGTGCTATTTATTCAATAATGCTGGCATTTATTCCAACTCATGCAGGTGGGGGGGGCGCTTATTTTAGCCTCCCACCAGAAGTTAAATTGAAACTCCTTTTTGAATTTTTTCTATTCTGTTCTCACACCCCTGGCTTGATGCCAGTTCATTTTTGAATAAAAAATACAACCATATTCTCCTTCTTTATTCTTTTAGCAATATTACAATCCTGACATTTGATCTCTGCAAGCAATTATCTGGTTTCTTCAATTCTCTGTTTAATAATCTTTAAAGGGGATGAAACATGTAAAATAGCTCTTTGGTCTGTGCCAAAACGTTTCCAGCTGTCTCAAAATGTGAAGCAAATTATACCAAGGGGCATATCTTTAAAAAATACAGTCCACAGGAGTGATTCTAAAGTCCCCACCTCAGAAATCAAGGCCTGCAATGTTTTGCTGTTTTTTGGAGATCTCTCTTATAATTGAGCTTTCGCCTCAATAAAGATTATGTTTTTTAGTTTCCTGTAGCTTTGTGGTATATTTCTCTTCCCATAACTCCATGAAGGCCTTCCCCAAGCCAGTCTGTCTACCGGTTTGCTCCCCATATGTCACGGTTGCACCACGTGAGTGACATGTCCTTGATCACTAGAACACTATTTCTCATTCGTAAGTGGGCATATTTGATCTCAATGAGCTTTCTAACCACCGTCTGGGATGCAAGGTGTAAGCATCACGACCCCATGTTGCCCATGAGGAAATTGAGGCCTGGAGGGCTAATTTTTTTTAATTTTAAAGATTTGATTTCTTTGTTTTTAGAGAGAGGGGAAGGGAGGGAGAAAGTGAGGAAGAGGAACACTGATTGGCAGTGGGGGCCAAACCCACAACCGACGCACGTGCCCTGAGTGGGAATCGAACCAGCCGGTGGGAGCTGGAGGGTCGGAGCTTATTCCTCCTTCTGACTCCCCTGCACTGAGAAGCTGCTTCGCTCGTCCCAGTGCACCTCATCATATTACTTTTTCTGCGTGTACGGCTCGTGATCGAAGCGCAATCTCCTTCACACCAGAGTTTATCTGATGCTTCCTTGTATTCATTCACCCAGGAAAAGAAACTCACTAAATAACAGTTGTTTGACTTGTTAGAGTCAAAGAATCATAAACTTTGAGCAAAAAGGGAGCTGCTTTACAGCTCGCTTCCTGAATACTTGTGTTTCTCAAAAGGTTTGAGGTTTGTGAAGCCCTGGGAGGAATCTGTACAATGCCACACATTTTTATTAGAAGATTTAAAGTAAAATTATCTTCACTTTAAACAAGTGCTGGTGTGTATTGTCATGAAATGTAAAATTTAAACAAGTTGTAAGATGAAACATAGAACTGGGAAGAAACTCCACAGAAATGTCACAACTACACTGGGCTGCTTCAGACTGCCCCAGACGCCAAGGGGGTAAATGTCTGTTTTCCCCACAGTTGGTGCCATTTCTACCGAAAAAGCTGAGAAGCAACAGGTGTAATGTTAACTGAGCCCTGGAGAGGTTAAACAAACTGTCCCAAATCACACATTATCAACCAACACTGATTCCGCATCTACTACGAATCCTGCAAACACCTGATCTAAAGTGACCAGCAAAGCAGACAGGGCGCTCACCTTCTAAGTTTGTCCACAAGTTAGAGTGAGGCAGGGAGAGAGCCATTCAATTAACATTGTGTGTGTGTAACCCATATAAACCAGCCCCTTACTGGTTATTCCAGCAGAACATTAAAAAAAAAAGCAACTCAAATCTTTATTACAGCCTCTCCAGAAAATACCCAAGGGGAGTTCATTTTTATTGCACAACAAAAGGTATTTAACACTTTTTCCCTGTGCTTCACACTCTTAATATGGATCTCAGCAGCTTGTCATTGACAGAAATGAATTTTCCCAAATTTCTTTTTGTCCCTCAGCCTGAAGAGCTCCTTAGGGCAATGTGGTCTCGCAGGCTCTCCTTTTCCCATCTATCCATCTATTTTATCTTCAACACAAATGAAGCTTGCTTCTGATTTCTTTAGTGGTTGTGGGGTTGGAAAGGAATGTGAAACGTCATGAAGTGATTTCTCTACCTGCAATTGTTTTTTTAAATTTGCATGCTATGGTAAAGGTAAAAACTGCAGAGGACCTGACCTAGGCTGGGGACTGGGGAAGATTTCTCTAAGAAAGGGATCTATTATTAAGCTGAGCTCAGACTATTAACCAAGAAAAGGTGTGAGAACATGCCAGGCTTAGGAATCTCAACCAGTGAGATCTCAAGTGAGAAGAAATGTGAAAAAGATAAAGTCCGTTGAGGCTGGAATACAAGGTCAGAGGGGGAGGGGAGAAGCTGAAGAGGGAGGCAAGAGTCCAATTACATAGGGCCTTGTGGCCCATGTTTAGGGTTTTCAGTCTCCTTCTTGGACAGCACTGAGAAGTTATAAGAAGGAAGCCCATTGGTGGTGCAATACAATTTGCATCCTTATGGGAAGATTTGGTAGGGACTAGAGATTTGGGAAATTTGGGGAGAACCTGTAAATATGCTTCTGTTGAACTGAGATAATGCCAGAGGAGATGGAAAGAAGAATAAGAATTCAGAAGCTCTTTGGGGAGAGATGGTCAGGAGTTAGTGCTTGATGGACTATGGCTGCTGAAGAAGACTGATGTCAAGCTCAACTCCCAAATTTCTGTCTTGAGCAATGGGATGGTGATGATGATGATAGACTGGGAAACAGAAAGCTCTAGAAAAAGACCAGATTTTGTAAAGGAATTTTATAGGTCAAATGGCTTAATAGTGAGACAGGAAAAAATAGTGATTTTGTTAAATCAGGTCATGAAGCTTCAGAATTTGTTATTTATTCTTGTTTGAGTTATTTCCTTCTATCTTTTTATCTCATCAATAACCACCTAAATACATACAGAATACTTCGAGTTTGCTTTTTTCATTGATTTCAAAGGGTTACATAGACATAGTTTCATTTAATAAAATGAGTAAGAAGCAGATTTCACTCTAAATTTCATTGTCAGTGATGATCATTTTGATGATCTGATTAGGGGGATGTATAGAAGCATTCTCTTCTTTCTGATTTGTTCTCTATTCATCCAATTCTAACTCCATTCAATAGGTTAAAGTCCATTACCATCATTACATTAATGCTCACTCGATTTGTCCCAGTTTTGAGCAGCTGAAGCCACTTCACGCCAACTCCCACGTCCTTCATCTGTTTTCATCACATTTTGAGTGTATTCTTACAGACCTAATAAGATGTTCCTGACTCACACTTGCCCTGTGTTTGGAATCAGCATCTCCCCATGGAATTTAGGTCACATTTAATGGAGAAAATGTATTTAGAAATAATCATCTGGGTAAAAGGTGTTTTCTTTGCTAGAGACTCTTCTAGGTCATGACAGAAAATAGATCTAGGAAATAGACACACACTTAAGCATCCACACATTGACGTACTTACATATATACCCATATCTAGACTTATTTCCATATCTGTGACTATTACTGCTATATCTGCATCTTATTTGGGGATGCTATTACAAATGACCATCTTCGACAGGATGGCTCAAACAGCAGACATTTATTTCTCACAGTTCTAGAGGCTGGAAATCCAAGGTCACGGTGTCAGCATGGCGAGTTCTCAGTGAGGACCTTCTTGTCAGGCTGTAGATGGCACACTGTGGAGAGAGGATGAGAGAGCTCTCAGGGGTGACTGACTGCACTTGAAATCATTCACTTTTCAAGTGCTCTGTTCAATACTACTATGGTGACCATTTCTGAATGGTTTAGAAAATGTACAGTAAGGATAATGCTCATCATTAAAATGATTTACTGAAATTCTTAAGAGAACTGTAGTGAGAGACAAAAAGGAAGTTTATTTCATAGGTTACTTGCAGCAATTTCAGATCACAACCAGAGTGATGAAATGGGTTTTTGGAGTCTAAATAATAAAATAACCAATTAAAAGAATGATGAGAAGGGGCAGAATGCTTTATATGAATTTCAAACAATCATTACTTATTAGGACAAGAACTACATTTCATACACTGCTTTATATTTTGCTCAGTGGATTTTTAAAGGTTTTTACCATCTGCACATGGTAAAACACATAGAGAACATAGCATCCATTTAGTAAATATTTTAGGCTTAGCTATAATATTTGGATGGACACACAGTAAACTTATGCAAGGTCATATGTTCATTATATCTCAATAAAGCTAGAAAAAGCAAATTACTGTTATCACGTATTCATGTGTTTTTTCATAATAATAATCAGTCCCTCTTAAATATTTACCATACCAAAAATACAACTAACATACTTGAGATTGTACAGGGCTCTATTTTATTTAAATCTAACTTATGGAAGATAAGACGTATCACACATTCAACCCAAAGGAGTCTTTCATGAGAACCTGGATACTTCTGTGATACCTGTTCTGTGAAAAGGTACTCAGACTGTTTGGAAAGATCCTATAAATCACAGGTTCAGGTTTAAACCAGGTGTAAGGGAATTCATAAAGGGTCTTCTCAGCTCAATACAGCTGTTTAGTTCTTCAAAGAAGGCAAAAACATACCCGAGACCCTTAGCTTCAGGCCTCCCCGAAGGCTCCATTCTTTGCCAGTTGCATAACTGCCTTTTAAAGCAATTAAGACCATGTCTGGTAAAAGCATGCAAAATAGTCCTAGTTTCTATTTTAATATTCTTGTAAATAGATAAGAGTACAGTTACCACTGTATCATTTGAGGTCTTCATTAATAATAAGAGTGTAGACTAGATGAAAAAATAAAGATCTAAATTCTTACATTCTGTTTTTGAAATAAGAAGAAAACTGTATGTGCGAATCGTGGAGCAAACCTAAGTGTCATTCACAAGGATTGAACCTGCTGAAAGCTTTTCCCAAGGACAACGGGGGATCGATATAAAGCAGTCAAATGACTGCTTTGTTTGCCTTCCAAAAAGCCCTGTGGAAAATGAATATTTAATGACAGACAAACCAAGATGCTGAATGTAAGCAATAATAGGTTGGAAAGGTAGATACAAGGGTTTTGTTACATTGGAGGATCAAGTGAATTCCAATTAGTCTAATGATGAAACCTTTTAAGTCTTTGCTTTATGGCTGTTGTCCTGAAATACCAGCCGTGGGGTTATTATAAATCCCATGTCCATGGCCCACAGAGCCTCGCCACACACATGCAGATAATATGTCCTCGTAATTACCCACAACGGGGCCATGGCCTATGGTTGAATTGAACTTTATTTCTTCTCCTTGGCTTTTCATTTTCACTTGGGGAGCAAACAGAAGACATAGCAACACGCTGTGTTCAGGAAGCCATTTCAAAGACCTTCCAGTTTCCGGTCCCCCTTGGTCTCTGGATGAAAGATAAGGAACAATTCAATCCAGCGGCCACCAGGAGATTGGACAGGTCAGGAGTCCCTGGGAATATTCGATCCAAGGGGGAAAACATCCGCCTTTAGAAGCTGAAGATTTTGTTAGTGTATTTCCTGAGTAATGGAGTGGGCAGTCCTTTTATTTCATATTCATGAGGATTTTTCCCCCCCGGGGATTCTAATCTTTGTTTCTGAGATAGAGCTGCTGGATTTCTCTTAAAGCCTTGGGATCATTGGGGCCCAGTGGGTGCATCCACACAAGTTGTAGGGTCGAGGGTGGAAGGTCTGTGTGTGTGTGTGTGTGCATGTGCGTGTGCGCTCATGCAGTGGGGGAGGTGGCTGTGGGAAAGGCTCTGTTTTGAATTCCAGCACACGCTTCCAATTTCTCTATTATTATAATTTCCCTCAATAAACTTTTTTGGGGGTTATGGCTCTATTTTCTCCTTTCAGATTCCGTCTTCAGTAATTCATTGTTTTGACTTCTGGAAATGTGCTGCAGATTTTCATTTTTCACTGTTTTTTTACCCTAGAAGAGTAAATGGGGATATTTGTGAGAGATGGAAGAAGGCCCAGAATTGAGGGCCAAGGTAAAGCAACCAGCTAGTAGAAATCATCTACAAGTGTCTTTCTTAAGACACTGTCACTCTGGAACCACCGAGCTAAACAGTGGGACGTGGAGTAATTTATTTGACTCTTCTCAATTTTCTCACATACAAGATGGAGTTTGAAGTACTACCCAGTACTTAAGGCTGCTGTGAAAATCGGATAAAATCAATACATGTAAAAACACTTGGGACACTGCCTGGCACATAGCAAATATTCTACAAATGCTACACATCGTTACCGTAATTGTATTTAAAAAGACAAAGAAATCTAATGACCAGCATTATATTTTTGTCAGTCAAAATCTGTTTTTGATCTAGATCAATTATTTTCATATATTTTTATAAAATTTTATAGCAAGCTTATGGGTTCAGATCATTTTATTTTACTTTATCACATAGACACATACCCTTGTATTACATCCTCCACTTACACGTCATTTTAATTTGCATACAATAATATACTATGATTTACTTAACATTTAAATCTCTGTAGGCATTTTCACCGATGCACAGTTTCCCCGATAAAAAGAATGCTGCACCGAAAATTACTACACAAGTTAGTTATCTTCCATCAGAGAGGGGGAATGGGTAAGGAGTGGAGGAGTGTGCTCTATCTGTGACCCTCCAGGAAGATGTGACTGTTTTATATTCCTACCACTAATATAGAAAGTATACACATTCCCTCTCCCCAAAGGCTTAAGATTGGGTCTTACAATTTATTTTTTTTCCCATTTAATGTCTCTAAAGGAGATTTTTAAGTCGGTTCGGTTTGCCTTTTTCTTTTTTTTTTTTTAACACAACTGTAATAAAAAAACATGATTTATTTTATGTTCTTGACTGGACACTTTTATCAAGTGGTTGTTGACTTATATAATCATTTATTTCCTCCTACAGTTTTGGGAGAAATTTATTAGCAGGTTATGTTTGTAATACATCTATTTATATTAAAAGCTTTTTATTCATAATTTTTACTTTACATTTTGTTGTATGAAAATGAAAAGTTTTAAAAGTATATTCAATTAATCTACCTTCCTCCTGGTAACAACCTTCGTTTTCCTAGTGATTAGAAGTGCATGTTCTCTCCCATGTGGGGTAAATAACTACTGTTCAGTTTTTTTTTTTAATGCTTTTACTCTTTGATGCAGCTAGAACTTATTGTAATGTTTGGGTCTCATGTTTATCTAAGTTCATTCTTTCCAAGTAGTACTTTTTGGGAGATCGTGTAGTAACTGGTTATCACTTCCCTGCTGTCTGTTTTATCTCTATTATAGATCAGCTCCATGTTCTAAACTATGAAAATCTGATACTATATGATTTTCATTGTGTGTTCGCTTTTTCAAATCTTCCAGGCTGAATCCACCTTTATTACCCATGAAAATGATTTGATATTGTCATCCATTTATTTTTTAATACTAATTCTTACAGGAATTTTAGTTGTATTGCAATAAATCTATGTATTAGAATAAAAACTATCGATGTCTTCATTTAGTCTCTTAAGGAAGAATCACCTGGCACAGTTCTTTAGTTGTGTTTTTAAAGTTTTCCTTTAGGATTGAATTATTTTAAAAAGCTATATTTCAAATTAAAATGCATGCATTGTATTTCATGTATTTGTTGATGTGGTGGATTGTGTTTTAGTTCTAGATAATAATTATCTTGTTTGTGTTGAAATTGTAGTATGCAGCCATGTAATATGCAAATTTAGATTTACATTCTCTATTTAGGGATAATCGTGATAGGAGTGCCTGACTGTATTTCTGTTCTTTCATAATTGACTCAAGTGTGACCTGATCCCAGTGTTATTTGTTCAGAGATCTTTAACGACAGACTGTACAATTCCTCCTGATCTTTTTCATTTAAAAATACCTTCATTTGAAGGTTGTGTATTACTTTTGAGTCATACATCTGGGGTTGCAGCACAAAAAGTACACTAAACACAGAACTATGAAGAGGGATGAAGGCACGGTTGGTGCTTGGAAATCAGACTGCTCTGGGTTTCCACTCTAATCCTGATATTCAGGAGTTGCACGAACCTGGGCATGTTTATAACCAGACTGGGTTTCAACTTTATCAATTATACAATGGCCATAAAAATACGTACTTAAGAGGGTTGTCATGAGTAATTAAACAACATATGTCAAGTGTAAAATGCCTAGCATGGTGCACAGTATACAATACAGGCTTGGTATTATTTGGATCATCATCATAATTAATGTTAATAACTCAGAATTTTAACCAAGAAATTCTTGAATCCATGCTACCTATGAAGCTGATATATACTGCTATTTAAATTAATAACTTCTTAGGTGGCTATTTCTTTGTTTTCTAACTCATCTGCTTTGGCAGTATATTATTAAATACACTTCTTTTGCAATACAATTTAGGTAATTTATTTCTTCTACATTTTTTATTTTTACCTATGTTATCCTTTGCATTCTAATGATTTTTATAACCTTATTTTGAGGGTCCAACTGAACAGCAAAATTTTGACAAAAATGAGAAGACTTCACAAGGTTCTGTAATGCTGATGTAGTTTTCTCTCCTCTGTCAAACTTTAATTAATTCCTGTTCCTTCACAGGGATCAAATTTCTCACAATTCCAAGTGAAGTGAGCCCAGGACTCATGAAGACCTTGGTTTACATCCTACTTCCAAAGTCTGTGGTGAGGATTAGATTAAATCAAATCAAATAACATGAGTGGAAATTGCCACCAAAACATCTAGCATGTTGGGGACCTCAAAAAAAAAAGCTGGTGCTTTCTGCTCTGCTTCTTTTCTTTCTCCCTGGTTCCTCTTTAGCACCCATAGCGGCTTCTGGCAACCCGTCCGAACATTTAATTCTCCGGCTGTCAAGGAGTGCCCGCCACACGGTGCTCATGGTCACCAGGATCTCCCAACTGATGGTCACTTGTGTCCAGAAGATGGGAGCCCATCAACAGTTGAACTTTTCCATCTGCCCATAAAAACAGGCAGAGGGCCAAGGGTAGCAAACTCAAACCCCACAGAGGACAGCTGCAACCATACAGCTTACAGCTATCTGCATGAACCCCGAACTATAAGTTACTGAGAAGAGCTACAAAGAGCTGGGTGGTATCAGCAGCTGTATACCTGATTTTCCAGAGAAAGCAGAGGGAAGCAGCGAAGCATTTATGGATCTTAGAACCATAATAGGCGTAAAGGGCTCACAGGAAAGCTTGAGGTTTGATTGAGAACAGCCGCTGGGCCTGGAAGTTTGAACATTCTAATGGTAGGGGAGTGTAAAGTTTCTGGAAGGGCAAAAAAAATGTTTAAAGGTAATCAGCCTTGTTTACACTCCAGGACAAGCACTGCACACAGGAGAAACTTCTGAGAAAATAGTGCTAATGGAATAGAACAGGAGCCATAGAGACAAAGGAAAGGGAGAGTCCATATACAAGTGAGGAAAGAGAACAGAGTTGAAAAATCTCGTAAGGGAAGCTGCAAGTAAACATCCACAGAAAGAATGCAACAGAACTGTGAAGTTAGAAAAGCTTTCTCAAATCCTGCCTCCGTCCAAAAGTTCAACAAAGCCATTTCATATTAAAAATGAGCAAAAAATCAAGTTTAAATCCCATACACAATTACTGTAAGGAAAAAGAGAATAAGAAACCAAATAACAACCCTATAGTGACAAAAATGTCAGAGACAGGCCTACAAAACAGGTGAAAATCATTACCTACTATTTCAATGGGAGCTAAATGACATTAAAGAAATAATATAAGATATGAGAGAACAACAAAAATGAGATTTAGAAAACCTCAGAAGTGAGGTGATAGAATTCAGGAACAAGTTGGAAGTAGAAGCAAAATCAACACAGTAATTAAGACCAAACTAAAACTAATACAAGAATAAGTAAACATAAGAGGTATGCCTTAAGAAAATAGAAGATGAAAGAGAAAGATTTTTTAAAAAATGTAAGTAAAGCTATTAAAAGGATTCAAAAGAAAAGGACAAATTTAGAAATAGGCAAAGAAGATAAATGTTTAATGGAAGTCCCTCAAGAATAAAAGCAAAGCAAGGCATAGAATAATTACAAAGAACAAAAACAAAACAAAACGTAATCAAGGACACTTTTTTGAAATTAAATAATATGGATTTAAAACTACATATTAAAAAGTCACACTTCCTACTGTGACCCCCAACTGGCAACACCAATGCGCATTATAATGAAATTACTAGATTTTAAAGAAGAAAATAATTTTAGGCATCTGGGCAATAAAGTCCACTTTTATAAGAAAAAGAAATCAGATTTTTCATCAAACGTTTGACAGCAATGATTTACACAGAACAGAATGGAAGAACATGTAACACATTCAAAGACATAAAATGAGAGCCAAAGGGTGTCAAGGGCAGAGTCTGCATATAAAATATCATCACTGTGCTGAAACCCGGAACATTATTCTCATGAGCACTTCTCAAGTAATGTACTTGAGAACAAGCTTCAGACAACCCTAATGATGAGATACTGACCCATGGATTGGAGGTGAGCATTCAACACACACACACACACACATACGTGTGTCTGATACCACACTAAGGCTAACAAGGATGTGTGAGTACAATCTGTGACAGCAATATGCTTGCCAATACAGATAAAATACAACTATGAAAAACATAAAACAACATAATGAGCATCCCGAATACAGAAATTTTCAGCTGTTTTCAGTAATCTTACTGGAATTGTTATTAATGGCATGGTATTCTGAGGTCATTATGTGTATATACTATGTGATTAAATGAATAAATAATCATGTCATATTTTAACTTTATTACCTCTTTTGTTCTTGTAAAGCAAGATTCTCAGTGAAGAAAACTTACTAGATATAGATAGAGACAATAGCTAATAAATACAGATGTAGAATATTCCCTACCTCTGCCTAGAAGCAGTAACAGTA